TTGGGCGCTGAGTCGCCATAGCCAGTTGAAAGTGAACTCGTATCTGGAAGCCATATCTCTGAGTTTTGAGTGGGCGCATGTCGCCAGTTTGCTGCGCTGCTGTTTGATGAATGAAAAGTGTGAATAGGAACGAGTCTGATTGCAGTTTCAATCAGGCACACAACAGTTGGTATCAGAGCCGCAACCACGTGCATCTAGCAGACTAATTGATTGGCCATCAACTCTCTGGCCGATGGTTGGCGGTTTGGGCCGGTGCCCCATTTTCTTCCACGTGCAGCGGCGGTGAGAGTTGCTGTTAGGCTGGTACGCATCGGCGAGAAAACGAGTTCCCAACAAATATAAAATAAAAAAAACTGGAGCGCTCTCCCTGCTTGAGCTGGCCCCCGGCATGGATTAATTAGGATGTCATCTCTAATTAGTCCGCCAGTTCACCTGAGGGTTTCACGACCCTCAAATTAGCACGTTCTACCTGCTTGCTGTCTGGTCCACCGACTGGCCGTCCACGGTTTTGCAGACCCCACATGTGGGGATAACAATCTGCAGAAGCTGATTGTCGGCCGAATCACCTGTGGCCTTGATTTGAAGTTTCGCCAAAGTTTCGGTTTGGGCGCTGACCGACAGTGAGTCAGCCAGGCCCCAGCAATTCGGTCAAAGTTGACCGGCGACTTCTCTCTAATCAAGACCTTGATCGAGTGAGTTCATTCCGGCGACCTGTCCCTCTGACATAAGTCCATCAGTCTCTCAGAGTCTTTCAGTCAGGTCTGTCAGTCTGCTGTTTGTCAGCAGGTCAGTCTGAGTTTGTCAGTCTGTCAGAAGTCAGTGGGTCGACAGATTTTTGACCTTCCCCTTTGACCTCTGCCTGCAGTTGACTGTGGGTCCTGAGCCTGCGCACAGACTCTGTTTCCGGTCCCTATTCTGTCTGGTCTGTCCCAGTCTGTTGTGTCAGATTTCGGTGTCAGTCCAGATCACTGCTGTCAGTCCAAAAGGGTTTGTCTCTCGTGTCTGAACGGTCCGTGCAGAGAGTCTGCTGCGTCAGGTCTGCTGAAGCCACACACAGTCAACTCCTTCGTTGCAGGGCTCGTGCCTGCAGTCTGCAAACTGCGCTTCTTTTTCTCTGCAAGTTGAAACATCATTCCCCTCTTCAGGTTTTTTTTTTTTTTTTTTGAAAGAACTCGGGGGCTTTCTTTCCGGCGTTCTTGGGAAGATCCAGAAAGGATTGAATCAAAGATTATTTTTATTTGCGATTGGTTTGCATTATGTGGTAAAAGTGAATCATCTGCCAGATTTCGTGTTGATTGTTGTCTGCAACCTCCCTGAATGCCTACGGACACTGAGCACTCATCTGCCATCTGTCCTAGGACTCCTAACCCTTCTCTTATTCTGAGTAAACAACAGAAATAGAATTCTGATTAGTTTATGGTTCTGCGTGAGAAGTTAATTCGAATTCCTTTTATTTTCTGTGAAATGAAAAGAGTGGGATGGGGGATACTTCTGACAGTGAAGGGAAAGGGCAAAGAACCTGCCCTTCCCACAACTGCATGGAGAAAGAGAAACAGCAGGCAGAGAACAAAGCGCAGAAGGTCAGCAGAAAGGAATGGTTGTCTGAGCATTTCCGTAAGACACCCATACCTTCTGGGATGAAAGGATGACTTCAGCCGAGAACAGGTTGTCCACCATTGAAGCCAAACTGGCCGCCCTCGCCGAGTCCCTTGATCACCTCAATCAGCACCTTCCTCCTGCACCTGTACCTGTTCCTCCACCTGTTTCTACACCTCTCTCTACACCCTGTTCTCATACATCCTCCTCCTCTGCTGCAACAACCTCAGCCAGTACTCCATCTACACTCCCAAAGGTGCAGAACCTGCAGCTTGGGATACTGCCACCTGCTATCTCTGTACCTCCTCCTGTAGTTTCAACTATGACTGAACCCAGGTACCCCAAGATGTTCCAGCCCGACAAGTTCACTGGGGATGACCCCAAAGTGGAAGTGACAGACTGGGTAGCTTCAATGAAGTCTTATCTGAGGGGCTTTTCTTGTCCAAAGGTAAACAAGGTGAAGTCCATAGCGGCCCCAGTCGCAGGGTCTGCACTATACTTCTGAGGCTAGTAAAGCTCAGAAGCAACTGGCTCATTGGGCTGCTACAACAGGGTTGGGAATGACCTTTCAGGGCTTGGAGGCAAGGTTAGCTAACAAGGAAAAAAACTGCAAAGCTGCAAACGAGTTGTTGAAATAACGAGTTGTTGAAACTTGGCCATTCCAGATGGAGACGATCCCTGGTCAAGCTCTATGCAGAGAGGGAGCGCCTTACCTCCACTCCAGGCCTGACAATGTCTGAAAAGACAACCTAACCTGAAAAGTATGCTACGGCCCTATAGAATGGAGGTTGCAAGGACTGGAGGGCCTCTGGCAGAGCAGCCTTGGATATGGCGGCCACACTCCTCCAGCCCACTTCCCAGAAAGGAAGTACCCCCTCTTCCCAAAGTAGGAGGAAGGGAAGAGGGGGTATGTATACCATGTAGTCTGATGATGACTCTGCAGGCTATGGCCAGGGTGGATCTACTCCCCTAGCTGGCCAGGATGTAGGAGTACCACCAGACCAGGCTGCTAGATATTGCCCCAGGCACTGATAGTTTTCACTAGAGGCAATCAGTTCCAGGGACAAAGGCATTCTGGTTCTAAGGGGTCAGGCAAACGCCCAGTGGACCTAAAAAACCGAGCCTCCCAAAGTTCGTCAAAAGCACCCAGCTAGTCCCATGGACCCTCCCACTTTTCCTTGGGAGAATCTCAAGATCCCAAAGGGTATCTGGCAAAAGAGGAAGGACAGGGGAGTCTGTCTGAGGTGTGAAGGCAACACTTTGTGAAAGATAAACCCTAAATGCTCTCAGGCAGAAGCAGCAGTTAAAAAAACTAGTCAGGCCAGCAGAGGCTGCAGCCAACCCTCCTGAACTGAATTCATCATTTTCAGGAGATGAATCAGCCAGTGAGCCTGATTTTGTTGAGGCTGCAGAGGACTCAACGTCCCATACGTTGAGCCCTTTATGGATTCATTTTTTTTTTCTTTCTTTTCAATTCGCACTGAGCAGAGATCGTATGGAGAAACATTTTGTGCTTTCCAGAGCGGCAGGCAGCGCTTCGTCTTACGGCTGGATGCTGGCGGGCATAGCTGGGGCTGCCATGCTTCACATCAGGGAGTGCTGGACTCAAGGCCCTAAGCGTTCCTCATCCTTGTGTGCTATTGGGGTTTTGGCAGCTGCCATCGATGCAGCCTTTCTCCATCTTCATCGAAGCTGGTGTTCTTCTTCATCATTCCGGGAGCTGTGCTCCCCCTGCTGCGTGGACATATCATCTGTAATTGCGATTCTAGGAGGGGTGTAGATTGAGTGTTGGATTCAGGAGGGTCGTGTGGCGAGAGGCAGCCTTGAGTGGTTGGGTGCTTATCAGTGCCATAGCTAGAGCTTGAGGAAGAGGGAGGAAGAAGAAGTATCCCATTTACTTTGATGAAACCCAATTGTTGATTGGTTCATGGGTGTTGTAACGCGTTTAGGATTCTTAGAAATCCGTGCTGATCGAGTTGGGGAGAGATAGTATCAATAAGAATTGATTAAATTCAATCCTAATTTTGCTTTTCTCATCATCTGGTTTGGTGCGGATTGCTCTCTCCAAATCTACTTGTCATTGCGCATGTGTATAAGAACGTGTGAATGCCATGCTGGGCTAGGAGGATTTTCATGCCCGGCCGGTCCTGCTCGGGCGTGATGCCCGGGGTACCCAGGCGTGCGAAGAAAAAAAGAGATTTTTTTTATTTTATTTTTTGGTTTTCTGCGCTCTCCCAGAGGACCCCAAATCCGGGCTCATTTCTTTTTTTGTGAGTTGGCTTTCAAGGGGTGGGGAGGCGGGTATGAATTGGTTTTAAAGGGGCTAAACTTCACTAAAGGGGTTTAACGGGGGGTGCCTAAGTGTGGTTCTGTTATTTTCTTTTTCATCTCCTATACCGTGAGGAATTCTAATGTGACCCTCAGCCAAAAATCGTTTGTATAATTTGTATTGCAATTCTACACAACATGTTTTTTCCCTTTTCTTTTTTTTTTTTTCCTTTTTTTTTGCGCTGGGGCTGCCCCGAACCCTGCCCGGGGGTCATGCCCGGCCGGGCACCCCAAAAAAAAGCCTAGATGCTGGGTTGATTCAATTCTAACTTTGGTTTTGTGAGATTCCGCTCTGTATTCTCATCATCTGCTTTGGTGTGGACTCCTCTCTCCAAGTCTACGTGTCATTGCGATATGTGTATGGGAATGTGCGAATGCTATCCTGGGTTTCTTTTCAATCAGGCACATAACACACACACACACGCACACACACACACACAAACCCATACAAAGTTTTTCAAGTACAATCCTCATCCTCAAGCCCTGAGTGTGGGAAACGAAGGCAGGCACAATATCATTTGTCAATCAGTTTGGAACTCACCACTCCAACCAGGTTGCCAATGCTCTGGATGATAGTCCGATATACTAAGGCAGATCTTCGTTTGTGTCTCAAATCGCCCATTTGGCTGCAATCAAAATTATGACGAATCACATATGCGGGTGCACACACACATAGAAATGTGTTATACGAGAAGTTCTGACCAGGCATCCAAGCTTGTTTGAAGAAACAAGCATCCCTCAGTGCTCACTTCAGCGGGAGAATTCCATCCCAAGAGCGTGATTCAGCACCAGGCAGAACGAGGAGATTGAGCTTTTTGTGTCAGTTACAGTCAGTATCAATAAAGGTGGATCGCAGAGGATCCGTAGCACCCACAATTTAATTTAATTTAATTAATTGAATTGGGGAAGGGATCTAAGAAAGTGCCTGATAATAAGGCTATATTGGAATGGCTATTTGTAGTGTGGTGTTTCTCGTTACTAGACAATGTAGACATCCCATTTTTCACATATTTTCCAAGACTAGTGCCAAAATAGGCACATTGCACACAGGAAGCCAGATGCCCCTTGAACAATGTTGTTCCCATTATGCTGCAGGAAACTCATGACATCGGTCAGTCAATCACTGTTTACCTCCCTAGCCACATTCACACTGCACTTTCATATCATTCTTCAGGCCATAATCAATGTTGTCCTTTATTCATTTATGCAAGGAAGATGAGCAATAGCAAACTTCAGCAATCAAACAGCATCATACACATAAGACTAGATAGTCGTGACCTCGAACCAATAGCAGAATTGCATCACGAGTTTCACCAAATAAGAGCACACCAAAAGCTCATAATTGACAGTGCTGGAATAGTCTCATCATCATCATCAACGAAGAACCAATGTTGATATCCTATCTGGCGCTCGACGCCCAGACTACAGATGGCAGACCCTATCTAGCCTAGACTACAATGCCGAAGATGACAACAACAGCTCTCCCGAAGTACGAGCAGATAGCGGCCAATGCCGCACGCTTCCAGCACCAGGTATGTTTCTCGCATCACTCACAACCTCGTTCCCCAACACACAGATGCCACATGCACCCAAGGACCACACTGCGCCACACCCAGCTCACAGCAGCGCAGCTCGGCTATGGCTGCCTGCTCCTTCCAGCTCGCCCGTGAGCGCGTGAGCCTACCTCTCTGCAGTCTTCAAGCGGCATTGGGATGATGACAGGTGGACCAGCTGCTGACACAAGTAGGCTATCCGGATAGGAGCTGCAGGGAGGTAGAGTCAGCGGTATAGCCCCGCCTGTAGTAGTAGTAGTAGTAGTAGTAGTAGTAGTAGTAGTAGTAGCGGTAGTCGTAATGGTAGTCGTCGTAGCAGTAGCTGTAGCAGTAGCGGTAGCAGTAGCAGTAGCAGTGGCAGTAGCAGTAGCAGTAGCAGTAGTAGCAGTAGTAGTAGTAGTAGTCATAGAGGTAGTGGTAGTGGTAATGGTAGTAGTAGTGGTAGTCGTGGTAGTAGTAGTGGTCGTAGTAGTGGTAGTCGTGGTAGTGGTAGTGGTAGTAGTAGTAGTAGCGGTAGTCGTAGTGGTAGTCATCGTAGCAGTAGCAGTAGCAGTAGCAGTAGCGGTAGCAGCAGCAGTAGTACTGGCAGTAGCAGTAGCAGTAGCAGTAGCAGTAGCAGTAGCAGTAGAAGTAGCAGTAGTAGTAGTCGTAGGGGTAGTGGTAGGGGTAGGGGTAGTGGTAGTGGTAGTGGTAGTGGTAGAGGTAGTGGTAGTAGTAGTGGTAGTCGTGGTAGTAGTAGTGGTCGTAGTAGTGGTAGTCGTGGTAGTGGTAGTGGTAGTGGTAGTGATAGTAGTAGTGGTAGTAGTAGTGGTAGTAGTAGTGGTAGTAGTAGTGGTGGTAGTAGTGGTAGCAGTAGCAGTAGTGGTAGTAGTAGTGGTAGTAGTAGTGGTAGTAGTGGTAATAGTGATAGTAGTGATAGTGGTAGTATTCGTCGTAGTAGTGGTTGTCGCAATAGCAGTAGTAGAAGTAGTAGTAGTAGTCATAGAAGTAGTGGTCATAGAAGTAGTGGTAGTAGGAGTGGTAGTGGTAGTGGTAGTGGTAGTGGTAGCGGTAGTGGTAGTCGTAGTAGTAGTAGTAGTAATACAAGAAGGAGGAGGAGGAGGAGGAGGGAAGAGGAAGAACAAGAAGCTCTCTCTCTCTCTCATTGTAGTAGTAGTAGTCAGTGTTGCACACGCCGACCGTCGGCGACCCCTGACTGGTCGGCTGCCGACCCGCCGACCGGTCGGCTGGTCGGCACCTACCGGTCGGGGGTTGTCGGCACCCTTTTTTTTTTCGGTCCAGAACCCCTAATAACCCCACAAATACCCCCATACCCACCCCAAATACCCCCA